CCAAACCACTCTCTGATTCTATACTGGGTCAAGCTCCAAACCTCTTTATAATTCACCAGCCCCATTACTTTCCACTGCTGCCCCATTCTACCCTTGACATCTTCTGGCTCACTGATAGGGAACAAGCCACTAGAGACCCAGAATCTATTTCTAGCCCAACTAGGCTATTCTGCATTAATTAGGATATTATGACACCTGCTAATTAGCTGGCATTTAGCAGGTACTGTTCTGACTAACTGCAGTGGTAGGCTTTGCGTGTTCCAGGGCTGTCTCAACACTGAAGGTCTGAGCATGCAGCCACACGCCAGTCAGACGCACAAGCAGCTCAAACGGTCATGTTTTCAGTCTTTATTCAGCTGGGACATGGCACAGCTCTGTTAGCTCCGGGTTCCACATCTCCTCAAGACCCTGAGCCAGCGATCCCCAGCCAGCTCCGCGGCGCTGTGACCGCCTGTACATCACTGCCCACAAAAAGCCGGTTCAGAACAGGCTTGCATGAATCTATGTGTGCTGCAGTCAGTCCCCTTGGACCCTGAGGAACTCCTTTGTTTCCCACAATTCGGCCTCCTTAATCCCTGCAAAGACTCCTTCCACACAGGGTTTTATCAGCTGTTCCAGACAGTCTGCCTCGTCCACCCCTGCCTCTGTTTCCGCAGCTTCCAACCACATCCCCTCCTGCCTTCTCACAGATTTCCTGGCTGTTTCTCCTCTTCAAAATGTTGATTTTATTAACAGGTTTAATTTATTAACACTGTTTAATTCTAGTGCCAGCAGTTCCTAGTCCTGTGCTCAGGTGGCAGGACAGGCAGAACATCTGCAGAGGGAACAAGGAAGAAACGTGACCGAAGGGCAATTAGGCCTCCGCAGTACCCCCCGCTCACAAGCAGTCACTCACGTCGTAACAATGCACACTAGGGCTCTGACACCAGGCCAACAGGGGAAAAAGCCAGGATGGAGGGGCGGGAATAGAAACAACATCTCATCTGTGCTGACACTGCGCATGGTGTCGCTCTGGCCCAGCATTAGCCGCCCCACGCTTACTTTAACTTTGGCTTCGGAGTGCTCAAGACACTGTCATCATCCTCCATCTCTGGCCCGCTGTCACTGGGGTTCTCTATATCCAGCGTGTCGTATAGAAGGTCCAAGTCCTCCTCCACCTCTGGAACGTGCTCTGCCGGGTCCTGCTCTGAATCCAGAACCTACAGGCAGGACAAAAGCGGGCATTGCTGATGCTGCTAGGAGCCAGGCCACATCACCCGAGCTGCCCCCAGGACAGCAGCACACCAGTCTTAGGAGTAGGATCCTGTTCCTAGTGCGAGGATACTACATCCAACGGAAACGTTACGTATATGAGAAGAGCTTGGTTTGGGTCAAGCTTGTCAGTGTCCACTTGAGCAGAAGTTACCTATCGGACTAAGCATCCACGAACAAACTGTTAACCACAGATTATGCCCATTAGTCAACCCCATTCTATAAAAACAAGCTTTAAAAAGGCCCCTAACGGGGTCCCAGTTTTCTCAGGACAAATACACAAATGCAATACTCCCATAAGCATAAGGAAGCATGAGGAGTTACTCACAGAATCAGCACACAGCCAGCTGAGATGTTAATGATTTTACGTTAGATACTGAACATCACACTGGTTTCTTGGGTGCTGGACATCTTTCATTCTCAGCCCTGACCAGACAGCTCACTCCCCTGCGGAGCTGCATTCCCTATCCACGTTTTCCATTCAGTTTCCAGTCTTGGCTGGCTGCTGTGGTAAGATGATCAAAAAGGCTGGGATTTAACGTCACAAGCCATATACACCACAGACTATTTGCCTTGGAAAGGGTCAAAGATGATTTCCAAGCAGCCTGCAAAACTAACGGGTGCACACCTGGCTGCCAATAATTTGCTTTTGATAAAATTCCATCTAGAAAAGGCTTCATGACATTTTAAAGCTGCCCCCAAGCCCTCGTGCAAGGCCAGGGCACATCCACTGCAGACTTGAAAACAGAATGAAGGGAACCAGAGGGGGAAACAGGAGAGAGTTCCTGAAGACTCAAGCAAGATGCACCAAGCAGAGGGCAACGCCCAAGCCCGGAAGGAAGGTTTACGGATCGCATCACTTACCTCATCAGACACTTTAAACCTCTTCAGCAACGCCACAACCTTCTGTTTGAAGTTTTGTTGCTGCAAGTCAAAGACACTTTCACATAAGTAAAGCGTTGAGTGAACTGTTTTCTCCCAGCCTGCAAGAAGCCCAGACACAGCTGACGCTGGTGCTCTAGCCGCTGCTTCCAACCAAACACCTCCTGGCACCACAAACCAAGCCTCTGCTGCTCTTACACTGAAACCCTTTCTTTCCTGCATTACAACAAACTAGGTCCCACTCCACCAAGCATCATACATCTTCCAGCCCTGACGGACAGGACGCCACGCTTGGCTGGACAACAAATGATTTTATCTGCCAGATCACCCCCAGGACCAGTTCGCTGTATTTCTGGCAAACCTTTGACAGTCAACTTTTCTGACTCTTGACACAGGCACCTACCCACTGACCCAAAGTACAAAGGTGTTTTTCTACCCACAAAAGCACCGTTTTTTCCAGGGGCTTGCAGTTCACCCTGGCAGGCTCGTTTGTTCGACTCGCAGCACGGCAGAACAGCTGTGGGGCTTTATCCTCAGCACTTACCCACAAAAACGCTTTCCGAGTCTGATACCCCGGATCCTGGACAGAGCAGGCACCAAGTCCAAACCAACACAAGCCAAACTGCTGCACCTCCTTTGCCTTTAGTTGCCCCCAAGGGTTGTTATCCCTCTTGCGGGGCCAGTCGGCGGAGATTTGCCACGAGCTGCCCAGCCCTTCCCTGTCTGCCATTGATCAACTGAACATTCCCACTTGGAAGAACAGGAAAATGAGAAAGGCCATGGTGCTGGTACAGAATATTGGAGATGGCATCACTGTGTCAGGAGGAGAGGGAGGAGAAAATGGCTGGCACCAGGCCGCTCTTAGGCAGAAGATGCTCATTTGCTGGCTCTCCTGTATCTCACATGAGCTCTTCTTGCAAACCCATCTGCCTGCTCCCACTCTGGCCTCAGACACCTCACACTGCGCCACACCTCCGAACCTACCCCCTCTGAACTCAAATCCTGGGAGCTGCAACCACCTTCTAGGTAGACAGCTGAAGTTTAGGTGAAATAAATCCACCAGGACTCAATCGAGACCCTCCAAAAACTGCCCTGTTTCTGTCTCCAATGCACTCGTGAGGCCAAGTTGCTCTCACGACAGCGAGAGCTGTCCTCTGGCTCAGGATGCCAAGCAAACCTTCCCATCCCGCAGAGTGCCCTGGGCCAGCCCGTCAGCCCGCGGAGGGAGGACACGCAGCATGCGGTAGCCAAGGTGAGGTGGCAAGAGCTGTTAGCTGGCCTGAATGGTCAGACCACGGTCAAGCCTGGTTTGGAGTTGGGCTGATGTTAACTGAACTGGCAGCACCAAATCTAGTTTTGTGCCAGCCCCACACACTGGGGACTCAGTGTCACTTCAGAGGTCAGGGGTAGAAACACATTAATTTTATGAGAAAGCTGCTTAATAACCAAGCACTGTATTTTTTGTCCTGGCTGATCACTGACTCTTGAAAACAACACTACGGACACCAAGGATATGAACCAGCGTGCTCCTGGTCTCAGGGAGGAGATCTCTTTATTGTCAGATTCAGGTCAAAATAGGGTTTATTACTGACTTTATCAAAACATGGGTTTCAGAAACATCCCCTCAGGAGGTACAATGATCTCCAAACTTACTCCTAAACCCAAAACTTAGCCCATCGTGAGTTACTGTCACCTCAGACGTGCACAAGCACTCGTGTAAGCAGAAAGCAGCGTGACGGCGCGGTCAAGCACGCGTCACTGCGCCACGCACTGGTGCAGCCTTGCAGGCAGATGCGTCCTTGCTGCGAGAGGGTGGATAGCTGCATGCGACTTGCCAAAACTTTCAAAAGCCAGCTGCTGCTTTGGCCTCAGCGCCACGTGCATCACCTCAGGTTTATCTGTCAGGCTCCACCCCTGACTGAGCTACTTCATTGGAAACCTTCCCGCTGGCCTCTCCCATGCAGAGCACAAACAGAAGCTTCAAGCTACCTTCAGGACTTAGACGAGCATGGATCCTGCACTGGTTTTTGGAGCTGCTTAACCCTGCAGCCAAAGGACACCCAAGACAGCACACGCACCCCACCATGGACAGCCCTACTCCCTGATCCAGCTGCTTTTGCTAGCCCTTGGCCTGCTGTGACCATGCCCCCGTGCTCGCCGCCGGGCCAGCGCATCTCCCGTAAGCCCCATGCACTGCGCATCCTGGCCAAACCCCATCAGTGTTAGTAAAACTGATTTCCACCGACCCTGGTTATGGACGTCGTTCTTACTATCGATCTCCGCTGCTTCTTGGGCTTCCCCAGCTCGTACTCGTCGTCATCCAAATCCTGAACAGAGAGAGGATTCCCGTGTTACCGTTGTGATCTGGGGACACATGAGCATGCAAGGGGTAAAAATGTCCCCTCGATGAAGATGAACCTGCTGCTCTGTCCTCCAGGCTGTCAGCATTTGCAGTTTGATGGCAGAGGGAAAAGGAAGTGAGCCAGGCCTGCGGAGAGCCAGGAATAGCAGCGTGGAGAAGCAAAACAGCCCTAGTTCTACATTCAAGGAACAAGGAGAGTCACAGCCCCACCGAGGTTCCTCTCTCAGTACCCTCAAGAGGCGGAACGCAGGCGATGCCAGAGTCTGAAGGCAGATAAGGCACAAACTCGGAAGCATCTCACACCTAGCCAGGGGTTCTCTGTAGGGACCTATTTTGCGGAAGGCATTAAAGACTAAAGACTGACTCAGACCCCGCTGGCCCTTTAATTACAGCTGGGCATCTAGATGGGCTCCTTGAATCCAATCATCATTACAGAAGCAAACGGCTGAAGCCTTCACCATTAAGCAGAGAAACATATAAAGATGCTAATGTTTTAGTGCTTAAATGGAGCTCAAGTCCAAACAGATAAATCACAGCGCCCTGGAAGAAATGGGTTACTGTGCAGGCCTCCTGCCACTGCAGCAAAACACTTGGTGCCAGTCTTGCACTGCCATGGTTTAGCTGAAGAACAGGTTTTTAGTTTCAAGCACGAGCTGAGAGTGTACACGCTCTACTGAAGCTCTCGCAGGGAGAAGCCATGCCCTAAACAGTACCTGGCCCTGTACGGCATCATCACTGGCCTCCTGCTCAGAAGAGAAGCTCTCGTACTCTTCCTCGGAATAGTTGTCTGAAAGGGAAGGAAAGAGGGGAGAGATCCTGTGAAACTCCTTTAAGGTGAGGGGACAGTCTCATCTCCAGAGCAGAGAAGACCAACTAACAGTCACAAATCAAGAAAGGAGGCACACGAGGAGATGCCTGTCAGCGTGTCTTGTCTACCTGTGCTCAAACCAGCGAGATGGGAACCAACTAGGAGAAACACATCTAATGGGAAGGAAGGACCAGCACATAGGTAAGGCTCCTTGCAACACCACCCCCTTTCACCCCGGGAAGAACCACCTAGTAGACAGCAGCAAGTAAAGAGGTTTCTCCACAAAGGAAATCACTTTTCTCCCTAACATGGGCATAACTGGCTTAAAGGAGCAAGTAGCACACACCAGAAGGGTCTAAATCCTTTACTGAAAGGTGTTTCAGGCGAGCTGCCTGGCCTCAGGCACAACAGAGAAGCACCTGCGTGCACCACCTTGAACAGGGCACTCTTCCAGCAGTGAGCAGAAAAAGACTGTCCCGAGCAGAAACCCGGTGACCGCCCTACACGGTGCACAACACCGTGGATTTACACTCATCAAACCAGGCCACAGTCTGCTGAAAAATAAGCTGCAGGTCTCATCTAAGTTAAGAGATTCTGTGATTCTATGGGAAGAGATTTATTGTAGAACACTCAAAGGAAAAAAAGCAGTTGGAAGAGAAGCTGAAATGCCAATCTCCTGAATACAACACTGCAGCCAGGTGAGAAGCCAGGTTCTCAACACACGCACCAGTAACGCTGGAAGAGCGCTGGCAGGAACACGGCTCACCCTGGCTGGGTGGCTCAGGACCGGTGTGATACGCAGGAGAAGCACTGACAATTCAATCCCTCGCTCCTGTCACCCTGCTTCCACAGCAACAGGTTTGCAAAGTGGGTTTTCTTTAGCCCATTTCTCACTTGTCCCAGGAAGCACCTAATCCCAGTTGGATTTAACTCCAGCTAGTTCAGGAAGACGTCGGTCCCGAGAGCACGTGGTTGTACCCTTACCTGTGGACTTGATCTTCTGGCTGGCCTGCATAGTGCTGTCTTCATGGTCAATCGGCTGACTTGACAAGGAGAAGATCCAGATTTCCGCTACCTTCACCGCAGCCTCTTTGATGTTGCTGAAGAGGCTCAGAACCTGGCCGCCTTCCGTGGGGTGCTGCATGACCTGGGACAGAAACGAAGCGGTGCACACCTGCGTTTCACCATTTGCGTACTACCAGAGACATTGATGTCAGAGGTAGGCCCCGTTTCCAAGAACAGAAGCAAGCCGAGACCCTGCAACCGCAGGAGCCACTTGCAGGCAATACAGGAGGCAAGGTGAGATTCTGACTTCTAAGGGAAGCGATCGAAGGACAGTAAAAGTGTTCTGAGCTTTTTTCCCCTCAGCTGATTAGCTCACCCTTGAAGCACAGTACTTGACTACCTTGTGATTACTCTGTACTTGCTTCCACGGCACAGTACTGACTTGAATTATCGTTACCGACCTTCCGAATACCTAAAAAAACCTTAATTCTGTGTTAAAGCCCAGCAAAAGAGCCAGTAAGGGCAAAAATTCCTGGTGTGATACAGGTGCAAAGTGCTGCCTAAAGCAAAATTCCCTGCTCCAGAGGGCTGGCATCTGAACCTCAGAGGAGCTGGCCACCCCAGGATAATGAAGCAGTGGGTCATGGAAAACGAGAGGCGGGTGGAGGCAGAGGGACATGTCGGTGCGGGTTTCTCCTTCCTTTGCCGCTCACGGGGCTCTCCCCAGAACCCAAGATTGCTCTTCTCTTGCCCCTCCAGAGTCAGAAAGCGCTTCCCCGCGCCTGCACCTCGGCTTTCAAATACACACCAGGCTGCAATTCATCGCTTTGTTTCAACAGCTAAGAGACCTTTGCGGGGTTTTTAATGCTGAGAAACATGTCAGTGCTGTTTAAAGGCCGTTACAGCGCAAAGGGGAGCTGGGGGGGCTCGTAGAATGTGTTTTCCTGAAGTTTTCGATTTCAGAAGTATTCCAGATGAGCTGGAGAGCATCTATTTTCTATCACAGGAAACCTTGGAGGATTTCTGACCTCCTAACCCCAGCCAGCTGGCATTACAAAAACTTAAGAAAAATCACACACAGCAGCAGCAAATGCCCAACCCTCAGAAGTTCACTGATGGGTCTAATTAATGGGCCGGCATGTTTTCTGCTTCCCAGCAGGATTTCATTTCTAGCTCTTCAACAAATCAAACACGGTACAGGAAAAACGTCAGGTACAACACCCCCCAGATCAGAATTTGGCCAGTTCAGATTGAGAATTCAGCACTTCCCGCAGCAGCCGGAGGGAAGCAGAACTCACACACCAGGAGTGGTGTTTGTAGCGAACTGCTGAATGCTGTAACGACACACCACGGCGTAACACCAGTTTGCTTTGGGTGGAAATGAGTTGTTGACAGAAAGGACCCTGATGAAATACACCGGTGCTACGCCGAACTTGCTGCTGCTGAGCCCATCTCCAAATACCCAACAGAGACAGCAGAGATTAAACAGGGCACGAAACAATGAAGCACAGGGCCGAGACATCCAGAAAGCCTTAGTGAATGCTTTATCCATACTTGATTCCAGCATTCATTTTCAGATGGAAATCAAAGTTTTATCATTTACCCTCTCCACCTAAATTACCGACAGCCGTGAAATAAGAATTGCACAAGGTGTTTCGAGCAACACGAGAGAAACTCCTTGATGCCGAACCTCACACAGTGGCGCAGAGAAGCACAAGCAAACTTGAACATTTTTTAGGGTTGGAAGGCAGCCCAAGTGACCCCATCTTGTCCAGTTCTGCATTTATGGTCTGGAAACCCTAACTCAACCAAACAGCCTCCCACTGCAACAAAACCCTCACAGGGTACGAAGTGCCCGAGTGACCCCATCTTGTCTAGTTCTGCATTTATGGTCTGGAACCCCTAACTCAACAAAACAGCCTCCCACCACAACAAAACCCTCACAGGGTACGAAGCCAGCATCGTGACAGCTCTAGCTCTCAAGACACTCACCAGAAGATGTCCCATACTACTACTCAGTAGCAAATTCTGTTCAAGCTACTGCCCTGTGAAAGCTGATTATGTTAAGACAGTTACATGAGATCCACCCAGGCACTTCTCGATGAGGAAAGGGAGAGCACTGGGATTAAAGAGAAGGGAAAATATCCACCTTTGTAAAGAGAGATGCCATCACACGCTGCTCACCTCAGCCATGTTGATAGACCCCACCGCCAGAGTCTTGTAGCCTAAAATGGTTCGGTTCTTGTACCGCTTCCGCCGCTGCAGCATGATCTGAAGCTTGTTGCCTTCTCTCTTCAAGAAGTGAGGGTACTGCGGTTGGAAATACAAGGGGAAAGTTCATTACAGCTCTTGACATGAATTCCCAAGCTGCCTGCTTCACGAGTAAACTCCATTCCTAGGGATTAGCGCCTAGGGCTTTTCGAGGTGCCTACAGCCAACTCACAGTGAACAGTCCTCATTATCCCAAGGAAGCCTTCATCTCTGCCCACACAGCTCTGGTGTGCTCTGCACGGCAAGCAGGGAGAGGCCAAGGATTTGCTGATGCCTCTTTTGCTAAAGCACGGAGACCTGCACGGTCAGGTAATGAATCTCCCCAGGACAACGCTGCAGGCACACAGCTCCTGCCACTGTCGGTGTTGTCCGGCATTAACACTCAAACTTCTATTGCTCAAAGTGGTTGTATTTTAAGTCAAGAAAAACCCTGTCCTACTGCCAGGCTACGTTGCAAAGACATATATCCTTCCAAGACATGTTCCATAGAGAAAGTGGATTTATTTATCTCCCAAAAAACCCCAAGAGCAGAGTGGCTGCGAAGTCAAGCGGAGGCTGTAAGGGAAAGCGTG